CAAAACCATAGAAACCCAAGGAACCCAGGGCGCCCTTGAGGCAAGCAGGGTGTTTCTTGGCATGGCTTTCCACTGTGCTCCCTCGGCGAGAGACGCCAGAGCAGACGCCAACCACCACGGCGAGCCTGAACAGGCTCGGGAGGCGCACGACATCTCGCCATCGCTCGGACGTCCATTCCCTGTGCTTCCTTCGGTTTCGTGCGCTTTTTTTTCCGCCAACTGATCCAGGATGCTCCTCGATTGTCCTCGCCGAAGGAAAAATGCACACGTCCGAGCGATGCCAAGACATGGCCGGCGGCCAGATGCCTGCACAGCGGCTGCCACGGCCACGGCACCACGAGGCGTGGGCCCCCGATGAGACGCAGGGCTGCCACCGAGCGGCTCCGATGCGGCAGCTCGTGAGGACATCCCGCACAGCATGGCTCCTCCTCCTCCTCCTGCTCCTCCTCCTCCTCCTCCTCCTCCTCCTCCTCCTCCTCCTCCTCCTCTCTCCTCCTCCTCCTCCTCCTCCTCCTCCTCCTCCTCCTCCTCCGCCCACGTCCACCCCCCCCCCTCCCTCCAGCTCATCTGTCCTCATGGTCATCCTCCTTCCCCTCTTCCAAGACCTCCTCCTCCCCCATCATCGTTCATCTCCTCCTCCTCCTCCTCCTCCTCCTCCTCCTCCTCCTCCTCCTCCGCCTCCTCCTCCGCCTCCTCCAGCCGTCTTCCTTGTAAAGAACTCCGAGACGGGTCCGTAGGGCGGGCCGGGCGTTTCGCCTGAGACTTCCTCACCAATCATGATCCTGAAGCTTGAAATTCGCAACAGCTTCTGGGATGGAGGGCGGGTTGCTTTCAAAATGTGGCTCTCGCGGTAGCGCCGCGCCCATCCATCGGAAGTGCAAGAGTTCACGGATGGAAGGCAGGTCGTTTTTCGTGTGCCCCTCGCCTCGGCGCCGCGCACATTCACTCTAACAGACTGTAGAATTGCATGAATGGAGGGCGGCTCACTTTAAAAATGTGGCTCTGGCCTTAGCGCCAAAACATGTCTGTCTTAAACCACTGCAAGAGCTTCAGGGATGGAGGGCGGGTCGTGTTCAAAATGTGGCTCTCGCGGTAGCGCCGAGCACGTCCGTCTTAGGAAACGAAAAGGGTTACACGGATGGAGGGCGGCTCCTCTTCAAAGTGCGGCTCTCGCCACAGCGCCGAGCACATTCGTTTTAAGAGTTTACACAACATTCAAGGGTCATCATGGGAAGGTCCCACAAATGGTGTTTTGGCACGATGTCGGACTGTAAGGGCGCAACAGTTCTATTGATCCGTGGTGCTAGAGTACCAGGACAGCATCGTCGAGACGTAACAATAACGGTGATTCGCGGCGTTGAGGTCCCAGGAATGGTTTTCTGGCACTTTTCTAAATTTTTGTACGGTTGTTTTCCAACAGGGCACTTCCTCCAATGAAAATGAATCCTCGCAGGAACATATGAAGCGGGAACTTGGAGGAAGGGTTTACTGCAATATGGTTGACACTTTTTTGGGCTTACAATGGTCATCCTCCTCCTCCCACGTCCAACTCCTCCCTCCAGCTCATCTGTCCTCATGGTCATCCTCCTTCGCCTCTTCCAATACTTCCTCCTCCCTCCTCCTCGTTCTTCGCCTCCTCCTACTCCGAGACGGGCCCGTAGGGCGGGCCGGGCGTTTCGCCCGAGACTTCCCCACCAGCGATGATCGTGCAGCCTGAAATCTGCAAAGTTTCACGGATGAGGAGCGGCTCGTTTTCAAAACGTTGGTCTCTCTTCAGCGCAGCGCACATTCGTGTCAAAAGCCTGCAGAGGGTTTCACGGATGGAAGGCGGGTCGTGTTCGAAATGTGGCTCCCGCCTTAGCGCCGCGCACAGTCGTCTTAAAGAATACGAGAGCTTCACGGATGGAGGGCGGGTAAAGTGTGGCGCTCGCCTTAGCGCCACGCACCTTCGTCTTGGAAGTTTGCGAGAGCTTCGCAGATGAATGGCCCGTTCCTTTTCAAAAGGTGGTTATCACATCAGCGCCGCGCATCTTCGACTTAACAATTCACAAAGAAACGGCGTTCTGGCGCGATTTCACGATTTAGAGTTGTCGGGTCACGGCAGTCAAATTGATTCGCCGTGTTGACGTCTCTGAACAAATATTTCGGCACGATTTAGGACCGTCAGGACGCGACAAGAACGTTGATTCACAGCGTTGAAATCCCAGGAATGTTGCTTTAGCACGGTGGAGGACTTCCACACAGTTCTCTTCCAATGAGGCCTTTCCCGCAGTGAAAGTGGAGCCTTATAGAAGCCTATTAAAATGGAACTTGGAGGGAGGGTGTATTGCAACATCGTTGATGGGTCCTGAGTTTACACTAATCCTACTCCCCATAATCATCCTAATCACAATCGTCATCAGCATCATCAGCATCGTCATCATCATGGTCATCATCGTCATCAGCATGATCCTCATCACAACCATCATCATCATCATCATCATCATCATCATCGTCATCA